GAAGGACAGCCTCCCAGGACACTCTTCCGGGATGATGGCGCCTGGAGAATACGGTCTTTTTTTTTTTGCAGTTGGAGTATAGTTGCTTTACAGTGTTGTGTTAGTCTCCGCTGTATAACGTGAATCAGCCATAAGTGTACACAGGTCCCCTCCCTCCTGGATCTCCCTCCCACCCTTCATCCCACCCCTCTAGTTATCACAGAGCACCCAGGTGAGCTTCTTGCACTATACAGCAGCCTCCCGCGAGCTATCTATTTTACACATGGTAGTGTATACATGTCAATATTGTAGCAAGTTCAGAAAACTGTCTCTGCCCTCATTCTGTCTCGGAACCTAGGCTGGGAGCTATGTGGCCAAGTTATCAGAAGATTGAAGTAGGCGGGATCCTCAGATGGTAAAGAACCCACCTGCCAATGCAGGACATATAAGAGACATGGGTTTGATCCCAGGGTTGGGAAGATCCCCTGGAGGAGGGCATGGCAGCTGACTCCAGTATTCTGGCCTGGAGAATCCCATGGACAGAGGAGCCTAGCGGGCTACAGTCCTTGGAGTCACAAAGAGTCGGACATGACTGAGTGACTAACACTTTCACTTTCAGAAAGGTTACAAGGGTTACCTTGCTCCTCGTTTCAAAAATGTGGGAACTGGGGATGGTCTCTGTTTAATCAACCTTTGGAGCTGGTATGAAAGAACTTTACAGAAAATGTCAGAAAGTCCTGGGGTCCTTTGGAGGACATTTTAAAAGTACCATCACAGGGAGTTATAATAATAAAGCATGAATGGTTGACAGAAGTTTGGACTTAATGAATTTTATAGCAGAGACTACTGAATGAACAGGGTATGATGACATTGCTGTTGGGGTGAATGTTTTCTGAAGAGGGAATGATAATGATGGATAAAGTCAGGTCATCAGTTCAGTTCAGTCGCTCAGTCATATCCAACTCTTTGTTACCCCATGAACTGCAGCACGCCAGGCCTCCCTGTCCATCACCAACTCCCAGAGTCCACCCAAACTCATGTCCATTGAGTCAGTGATGCCATCCAAGCATCTCATCCTCTGTTGTCCCCTTCTCCTCCTGCCCTCAATCTTTCCCAGCATTGGGGTCTTCTCAAATGAGACAGCTCTTCAGATCAGGTGGCCAAAGTATTGGAGTTTCAGCTTCAACATCAGTCCTTCCAATGAACACCCAGGACTGATCTTTAGGATGGACTGGTTGGATCTCCTTGCAGTCCAAGGGACATCTTCACTTTCTGCCATAAGGGTGGTGTCATCTGCATATCTGAGGTTATTGATATTTCTCCCAGCAATCTTGATTCCAGCTTGTACTTCCTCCAGCCCAGCGTTTCTCATGATGTACTCTGCATATGAGTCAGGTCAACATTGCTCAAATCACCCATTTGACTTTAAAAGTGCAAGTTCCCATAGAAGAGACTATTCTGTCCCCTGGCCCCTGAATAATCTTCCATCTAAGAGTGGATACTGTGGTCTGGCTCAGAGTCCATAACAAAAAGTGTGGCTTAAACCCAGGTGCCATTACACATTCAGGGAGGGTGGTGGTCTTGGCTACAGGGCCCCTGCCTTTTGAGACAGTAGAGAAGACAAAAGCTCTCATCTAGAGGTTGGAGCTCTGGATGCATCTGTCATGACTTCACCCCTCCCCTCCATTAGTCAAGTGACCTTAAGTATCGTTTCACCTGTGTGAGCCTCAGTTTCTTCATCTGTCATGGGAGAAGCATTCCCTGCCTTGCCAGCTTACTGACGTCAATCAAGTAATGGGTGTGTGGCTCAAACCACTAACAGGGTGGAGCTGTCTCCCAGGCGACTGGATTAAGGAGCAACCTCTCTTCTGTCTCTTCTGCTCCCCTTTACGTGGTGTCTTCCTTCTCTCAGCCTGGAATCTTAGCTGCTAGAATATCAGTCTCCTAGAATCCTTATAGCCTCCCACCAAAAGGGAGGGAGCCCTAGCAGCTCTAAGCAGAAAAACACCTGAATCAATCACCAGGGCTGGAGGTGGGGTAGGTGGGGTGACTATGGAGCATTTTGATTGGCCTAGCTCAGGTCATGTGCCCATGCCTGGCCCAATCACTGTGGCCCGGCGCAATGGTGTCCTAGTACTGGTCCACGTGTGGAATGCGCTCTACCTTTGGCCAGGGAGGGAGGCATTAAGGCTGAGAGCCTCCATCAGAACCCTCTGGTTGTGGCAGGCCGTGGAGACCAGTTTTTCAAAGAAGTTGTTTTTGATCTAGGCAGTCAAAACTGTAAGTGTTCACTGAGGGCTTACAAGGGGCTACTTTGTAAGCCTATAGGTGCCAGGTCCCTGTAAAGTAATGTCAGTATTTCTGTTGTTAGCCCTGTACCTGAGTTTCTGCAAGGATGACCGGGGACTGAGACCCTGCTCCAGTCTGAGTATCCTGGCCAAGAATGACTTATCACCTATTAATGAAAATTCCGTGTCTTATTGATTAAAACAGTTCTCTCATTTAAAAACAGAGAACACTGTGAGTGCCTTTAAAGGACTTCTCCCACCGTGGTTTTCTTTTTCTACTCTATCCACACAGCTGCTGAACTGGTGATTTTTGGCAATGCTCTCCGGTCTACACCCTTACAATGTGCCTGACATCGTCTGATGGTCTAAGAAGACATCACAGATGTACAATGGCTCCTGGCTCTCAAAGGAGTTGTAGGCTGGCAGGAGTTGCAAACGAGGAGCAGGAGCGCAAAACGATGAGTGCTCAGGAGCTGGTGGAGTGGAGGAGAGCAGGGAGGCTGAGGGACTCAGGATGTCTGGTCTGGGGAGAGGGAGGCCCCTGCTTCTGGACTTCTCCCCACCCCCCACCATTGCCAGGCCACCGATACTTGAAAGGCAATGAAATCGGGAGGCGAAGAATATGATCTATGTCTAGCCTCCCTGGTTTTTTAGCCCCTGCTCATCAGCTTTCTCATCTGTAAAACAGTGATGGTAATAATAATACCCACCTCCTAGGACTGTCATGAAAATAAAATGTTACTACACATCAAGTGCTTACAAGAGTACCTGGCACACAGTATATGTTCAACTCATGTAACTTGTCATCATGTTACATCAAATATTTGCTCGTTAATTCACTGACTTTCTCTCATCCCATGAGATTATAAACTTCATGAGCAGGGGCTCTTTTTTGACTGATGCAGTATTCTCAAGGCTCAGAATAGCTGCTAGCGCACAGTAAGTACTTACTAAATATTTGTGTACTACATACCTGATAGTTAATATTATACTTGGCTTGAATTATTTTAATAGCTCCCTTCCTGGTCTCCCCTCTTCCAGCCTCTATATCCCTCCAATCATTTTGCTCTTACTCAAGAGGTCAGGGTTTTGGTTTATTAAACCTTCAACTGATTGGACAAGGCCCACTCACATTAGGGAAGGCAATCTGCTTTACTTTGAATCTACAGATTCAAATGTTAATCTCATCCAAAAAACACCCTGTCAGAAACTGCAGAATAATGTTTGGCCAGGACTTTAGACAGTCTTTTGAGTTACATGCTGATGATCCTGGAGCAGCTTTTTGTCTTGTTTTCAGTAACACCAGTATGGTTCTCAGGGTGGTTGGTAAATGCAGAGAACCATTTGCATTAACTTTGTTGAAAAAGAGGAAGTCTAGATCCTTACATTTTCACAACTCATGCACTTTCTCGTTGAACTTATTGCTGCTATAAGTGTATTGAAAAATGAAAATTCAATTGCAAACACCAAGATAAATAGTTGCAGGTTTACACCCTCCAGTAAGTGGCAAAGTTGCTGTAGCAAGTCTGCTCCAACTACTGCCTCTGAGCCCTTCTACAAGATTCCTGCCTTGGAGGTCCTGCATGTCACGAATATACCCTTCGCCTGCCACTCCCGCTTCCCCACTGGCCTTCCAGTGGCCCGGTGGCCTCGTGAGTCTTACAGGCCTGGCACCACTGGCTAGAGCAGCAACAGTCCATCCCTTTGCCCACCCCAGAGCAGGAGTCAGCTCTCCTGAGTTGCTTGAACCCACCAGAATTCCAGCATCCCAGGGAGAGCCGCACACTCTGTCTTTGAGAGGGTTACACCAAGGCAGGAAAAGCTTGGGAAGGAGACAGAGGTCAAGCCTTGTCATCTTCCGGTTTTAGCCTCAAGTTTACTGAAAATTCAGTCACTGTCCATGTGACTCACAAACCAGGAAGCTGGCAGGAGCTGGAAGTCCAAGTGGAGGGGTGTTGGTCTTGTCCTGGCTTCTTGTAGAGAGATTCTGAAAAACACTCCATTGAACAACCACACACCAGGCAGTACTCCAGGACGGTAAAAGTAAACCAGGACCGTCCCAGACCAACCGGAGCGGGTGGTCACCGCGCCTCTGGAACGCTTTATTCTTGGGCTCTCGGGGCTGATTTGTCTCTCGCTGAGAATGTTAGTGTGGGAGTGGGACTTCCGAGCACTGGGCTCAGAGATGGAAGGGACATGTACAAGATCACAGATGCCAACAGTGCTGGGTGCAACGCTGGGTCTCTGGCCTCCAGGATGGTGCCCGTTCCCCTGTCTTGGGCTAAACAAGATGGATTCTCACAGAAAGAAGCATTTTCCAGAGGTATGGGCTCTGCGCCCTCCAGCAGGAAAGCCGCTAGGTACGGCAGGCTGCACGTGGTAGATCCTCAGAGAGGAAGGGGTCCCAGCACCTGTTCCCCGGACAGTGCTGCAGGTCTTCCCTGGGGGACAGGACCACCCTCCCTCTTTCCTGTTGAGACCTTCTCGGGGCTGTTGTGTTGTTCGTGTCTGTTGTCTGAGCTCAGACTTAGTCACCAGTGGTGTCTGACTGGCATCATGGGACAGCCCTCTCCCGTCCTGCAGGGAAAATCTATTTGGATTGGATTTTCAGGTGGTGAAAGATGGTGTCCAGCAAGAAGATACAGAACATGCAATAAGTGTTGTGTCTTCCCCGTCCCCACCTCCTTCACCCACGTAACTCAGTTACACATGAAACAGACATTCAACAAGTACTGCAGCCAGGACTTATGAGTGTTTCTTTTAATCACCAGACATCTCTGACCTATAGGGTGCCGAGCACATCACATAATCCTTTCATCATTGAAAATGGTTCTTCCTCAGAGTCTTCAGACTGTAGACATCAGGGGCCTTCTACTTCTTTGCTTTTGCTTTCTTCCTTTTGTTGGTTTTGGACAGCTGAAGAGCTTCGTCTTGGCCTGACTGACCAGCAATGGGGACCAAGGGAGGGATGGGAGCATTGAGGTTTAGAGTCTTCTTCTGAAGTTTCAGGTCCAAAATATCAAAGGTTATCTGTATCTCATACTGCAGTAGCTCCTTGAGGCACTCGATCTGGATGTGAATGGCCTCATTGATGAGTTTCTCTAGCTCCTGGAAGAAACAGAACGTGGCTGCTGAACAGGGCCTGGGGAAAGCTGAGGCCACCTGCAGGCAGAGTCCCACCACGGGTGCCACTTCTCAATCCAGCGGCCTCCTTTCTCAATGTGCTGGGCCTTGCATCCCCTGCTCCCCAGACTTACTCTCTAACCATCTCTACCCTACTCTATGCCCCAGGAGGTGACTTTTAGGAGCTGCATCAACCAGGTCCCTTGACCTGTCACTACCAACTGGGTTCAGCCAATGGGAGGCCCTGGCAGGAGATCGGAGGGCGAGGAGAGGATGAAACCTCCATGCCCCTTCCTTCACTCCCAGGCCTCCGTGAATGCCAGTTCTGCAGGCAGACAGGGCACTGCAAGAGTCTATGGTGGTTTGGAAACTGGGGGCTCCTTTGGTGGAATTTGTGCTAGAAAGAACTTGGACTTCGGGGTCAACCAGGCCTCAGTCCAAATGTAAACTCGACCACATGCCAGCTCGGGGACCTTGGGCAAATCAGTTAAACCCTCTGAGCCTCAGCCATCTCATCACTAAAACGGGGACATGAATTATACATCTGAGGGATGTTTCATGAAACATGTGCACAAAACCTGTCCCCTCCTGTGCCCTCCCAGGCGTGAGAACCCCAGGGTCCCAGCCGCAGGTTCTCTGGGTGGGAAGGGACGTAGGCTGGGGCAGGTAAGCCTCCCCTTGCCCCACGGGCCCCCTCACTTCTCTCTTCAGAGCCTGGTGCCGCTGCCCCGGCAGCTCGGAGAATGTCTCCTGAAGCAGGTGCTGCTGCTCCAGGCGCAAGGCCCCCTTCAGCAGCAGCATGTCGGTCCGCTTCTGCAGCTCGGCCGTCCTCAGCTCCTCCAGCTGCTGCTCGTGCTTCCAGACTTCCCGGTCCTTGCCCTCGGCCAGTGGGAGCGGCTGGGGCGGCGTGCACACCTCCAGGTCAGTAACAGTCAGGTTGACATCCTGGTCCTGGCCCAGGACGTACTGGTAGAGTTTGTAGTGGCGGATGAAGGTGTTGTGGAAATAGTCGCACAGGGCCAGCAGGTGGGTGGTGTTGAACTGCCCCTGGTAATTTCTGAGCTTGATCCCCAGGATTGTCACAGCCTCGGTAATGGAGCAGCCTGTGGGCACAGAAGGGCCGGGTAGCAAGTATGAACTGGCCCAAAGTGGCAGGGATGGCTGATCAATATCTGCTGACCCCAGAGACCATGTCCTACCAACTGTTGTATGTCACCATTTTTTAGATCAAGGAAGTCGAGGAGTGTATCACGTTTCCCTTTTCCCCTTGGCTCCTGGGAAGCTCAGGGGCAATTTTAGGCAGTAACTTATATTTATCTTATTTTTTTCTTATATGATTATCCCACTCCTTGCCTATATTTTGACATTTAGCTCTTGTTTTAAAGGCTTATTTCAGCTGTGCTTTATGCTGTTTCCACTTCAGACCCTTCAGGAATGAAGTGAGGGTATCAAAGGGATTCTGATATGAGTGGAGTGTGAGATGGTTGCAGAGACAGAGACATTATACTGGCCACTTGGGTCACTGACTTAGGCAAGTATTCTTTAGACCATGTAGAGATCAGCTCTGAGGGTAGCACTGGGCAATGCTCCTTGGAGGATAAACCATCTTCTCCCATCTTCTTCCTTTCACATCTCACTCTTTTTTAATTTGTTTACTTTTCAGCCGCACTGTGTGGCATACAGGATTTTAGTTCCCTGACCAGGGATCGAACTCATGCCCCCTGCAACAGAATTACATATTCTTAACCACTGGATCACCAGAGAAGTCCACCTTTCACGCCTCTGGCTCACAACTCCATCAGAGGCTCAGGGTAAGAGTGTGGTCAGGAGGGCAGGACTCTCCCGAGCATGTGATTGCGTCTCAAGACAGAGGTGGTTCAGTAAAGGGTCTCGCTGAGTGAGGTGCGTGCCCTGTGGACAGATCTCTGGCAGGGAAAGGACAGGACAAGTGACAGAGAAGGACCCTGGACCCTCACGCAGGTGCCACCCCCAGGGGCGCCGTGACCTCAGCCATGTCTCTCTTGCCCCCTGACTCATTGTCAGCTCTGCAGGACAAGAGCTTGAGCACAGACAGGGGGATTCCACAGCTCCCTCTATGTAGACAGAGACCAGGGAGCCTCCTGGGGTGGAGGCTAGCCTGCTTGCAGATCCCCCCACCTGGTGACCACCTTCTTCAGGGCCCTGCCAGAGTGCCCCTGTGGCCTTCAGGAGGGGCTGTCTCTGCCCGGCTCATAAGGCTGTTTTTCAAGCCCTCCCCACCCGCTGATTCTGCCTTCACTTTGGCTCCTCAGTCTTGGCTCTGCATGGGTGTTTTAACCTTAACTCTCCCCAGAGTCTGAGAGAGCAGGGCTTACAGAAATATTAGCACATGGAGCAGTGCTCCACCTTGAGCCTCAGTAGAAAGTGCTGTGAAGTGTCACTAAGATTTAGGCTTTAGTCTCACAGGGGAGGTCAAACCCATCTATCCTAAAGGAAATCAACCCTGAATATCCATTGAAAAGACTGTTGCTGAAGCTGAAGCTTCAATACTTTGGCCACCTGACACGAAGAGCTAACTCATTGGAAAAGACCCTGATGCTAGGAAAGATTGAGGGCAGAAGGAGAAGAGGGTGACAGAAGATGAGATGGTTGGATGGCATCACTCATTCAATGGACATGAATTTGGGTAAACTCCAAGAGATAGAGAAGGACAGGGAAGCCGGGTGTGCTCCAGTCCGTGGGGTCACAGAGTCAGACACAACTGAGCGACTGAACAACAGCAACTCCTGGGGGAAGGGAGCGGGGAGCCTCTCCACCTTGCAGAATTAAAGGTTAGTGGCCTGTGCTTTCCCTTCCTTTCAAGGCAAATTAGCAACTCCAAGGTCCAAGACAGTAGCCCGTCTCACGATGGGGCAAGGGAGGGTGCTGGGCCTGCATGATGGACACAACTCTGTCTCCTCCTAGCTGTGACTCTTGGACCACCATTCCCTCAAATGTAAAATGGGGAATAGTCATGTTTACTTCACAGGATTGTTAGGGGGATCAAATGGGATGGTGTGTCCAAGTGCCTTATACAGAGCTCACTACAAGGTAGTAGTCAATGAATGCTGCAGGAAAAGAAGTGTTTGTTTCTGCACTGTGAGAAAACTCTCCAGGCCACATCTTTGTATCTCTCCATAGGTCTTGTTGTTTATCCATCCCTCTCTCCATCCATCTATCCATCATCCGAATATTCACTCGTCATCCATCTCTCCATTCATCTATCACCCACTCACTCATTATTCATTCATCCATCTCTCCACCCAACCATCTTTCCATCCATGCATGCTTGCATCCATCTATTTATCCATCCACAATTAATTTGTCAAGCTGTTACTGAGGGCCTATTAATTGCTAGGCATTATGCTAAGTTCTAGCAACATTATGATGTGTCTTACTAGACACATCTCTTGCCTTCAAAGTTCACACGGGAGAGATACACAAGCTGATATTGACACATGTGTAAAGAGGAACAGAATCAGGTGATGGGGAATGCTCAGCTGAGGATATGGGTTCTCCTGGAGAAGATGAGGCATAAGCGACAAATCAGAGGCTGAGTGGGGCTGAGCCAGGAAAGATTGTGGGGGAGGCGTGGCATGGGTGCGGCCTGAGCGAGATCCGAGGGGCAAGGAGCCATATGGCCCGGGTGGGAAATAAGACTGAGTTTGTTGTCGTTGGCACCTATCGGTGGAGGCAGAAAACAGCATGTTGAGGGGAGAGGTGGGAGGAAGGCAGATGGGAGGGCCTTGAGTGCTGTGTTAGAAGCCAGCACTTGTACTCCAGGCAGACCAGGGCCTGCCCAGGGAGACTGTGGTCACGTGGTGGCCCGTGGGGAGACTTCGGCCCAGTCCAGACAGGAGTCATGTGGCCTGAGAGTGCCAGGTCAGCAGGCACGGGCAGCAAGGACAGATTTGAGTGGCAGGACCAATGGTCGGGTGTGGAGGGGGATAGAGGCCTGCCTAACTCACAGCCTTTTCCCGGGGACCCTTAAGGAGCAGGACAGCCACCACGATAATATGACACAGGTGGGATGTAAGTCTGTTGTGACCCCCAACCCCAAAACGCCTCCAAGCCGGGGAAAAAGAAAAAACAAAAAAAAAGCCAACCCCTCTTTTTCTCTCAGCCCCCAGCTCAGGGCTCTGTGCTCAGTGAGGGTCAGTACATACCTAGTGAGTCAATGGACAAATTGCGACATGTGAAGTGTAGTGATGGAGCTATTCATTTATCCCTTCAACAAGGATTCATTAGGGGCCTGCCTTCCATGGGCCAAGAACTCACCAATGGTCCAGGAAGGTGATGAAGTGCTGGGGGAAACACATTACAGTATAATCCTGCTCAGGGCTACTTAGTGCTGGGTGGGCAGACCGTAGAAAGAAGGGACTTTCTCAAGGAAGTCAGGGAGCAGGTCCCTGAGGAAGTGGGGAAGGAGTGGGGACGGGCCGTGTCAGAGGGAATCACTGAGCAAAGAAAGGCGGAAAAGGGGGAAGCAGGGGAAACAGCATGCACGAAGGCCGCATGGCTGCAGAAAACGTGGCTCATCTGAGGAACGGAAATGCTGAGGATTGGGGGTTGGCGGGCTCGGGAGCAGCCAGCGGGACCCCTGGTTCTCACAGAGGTCTCCTAGACCACCCACCCCACATCTCTTATCAACTGGTTCAGTTCAGTTCAGTTCAGTTGCTCAGTCGTGTCTGACTCTTTGTGACCCCATGAATCACAGCATACCAGGCCTCCCTGTCCATCACCAACTCCCAGAGTCTACCCAAACTCATGCCCATCGAGTCAGTGATGCCATTCAACCATCTCATCCTCTGCCATCCCCTTCTCCTCCTGCCCCCAATCCCTCCCAGCATCAGGGTCTTTTCCAATGAGTCAACTCTTTGCATGAGGTGGCCAAAGTCAACTGGTTACCTCGCTGTATTAAGCAAAAGTTGAAAGTTAAATTTATTGAAAATAATTTTAAGAAATTAATTTTGTCCATTGTTTTCCCAGGAAAATAACAGTTTTGAATGACATTTTAAGAATTGTTTGCATTGCTCTTGTCATATTTATATAAATTGTTTCTTTGCTTATATAATTTGACAATTACAAATTAGGTACATAAATAAGCCACATTAAAAGTTACTCAGAAAGTACAGTTAAGTTTGATGTTAATAGTTTTTCAATTTTCAATTTAATTTTAAAATGTTAGTTACTCATCTTTAACCTTGCATTGAATATAAAGAGTAAGCTTCATAATGTATAAAGCAGATATACATATAGTATATAATCATACATACAGAATACCTATGCTATTGAAATTTGATGAGGTTGGGCAACTAGGGATAAAAAGCTCTAACATGGCTTCTCAAAAGGCTCCAGCAATCCTACTTCAGAGTATACATCCAAAGAAATGAAACCAGGATCTTAAAGCTATAGCTGTGCCTCCATGCTATTCACAAGAGCCAGGTTATGGAAACAGCCTGTGCTGTCAGGTCTGTTGATGGATGAATGGTTAAATTAACCATGGTACACACACACACACACACACACACACACACTATGGAATACTATTTAGCCTTAAAAAGAAGGAAATGCTGTCATTTGCAGCAACATGGATGGACCTGAAGGACATTATGCTAATTGAAATGAGCAAGACAGAGAAGGACAAATACTGCATGATCTCACTCGTGGTTGGAATCTAAAAAGGTGGAACTCGTAGACGCAGAGCAGGACATGCGGAGCTGCGAGTCAAGGACAGAGCTTCAGTTATACAGGACGAGAAAGCACTGGAGATGGACCGCAGAGGACGTCCCCACAGCCAGCAACACTGCTCTGTGCATTTGAAACATGCTACAAGTGTTCTCCCTACAAACTGAAGTGGTGACTCTGTGAGGTAGTGGATGAGGAAGTCATCGGGGTGTAACTTCAGCACTTATTTCTCAATTATTGACAAATGGATACATTTTATTTGTCAGGAGACTCATGTTCAATCCCTGGGTTGGGAAGATCCCCTGGAGAAGGAAATGGCAACCCACTCCAGTATTCTTGCCTGGAGAATCCCATGGGCAGAGGAGCCTAGAGAGCTACAGTCCATGAGGATCACAAA